TTTGGTTAAAATACCTGACCGCAAGGCAGCGGATTTGATATTGGGCTACAAGGAGTCCGGTTTAAGGAATAAGGAGCCACCTTCATTCTAACCCCCAATTTGGAGGACCAGGAGGCTGAGTTTGTCTGGCCTCTAACCATTGACCAATCTGGTATGAGGGGCTTTGAAGGTGCAGCAGACAATCGGCATATCTCCAACCATGCAGCATTTGAATATGCGACCTTTGCGCTCCATAATCTATGAGCCACTTGCTAGTGAACTTCAATTAGCCGAGAGAAATTGGCCCAATCAAAATCCTCTCAAACTACCTCAACATGTAAATAATCTTAACTGGCACTTAGGTTATGTGCAACAGCCAGCAAATTGTAACTTCCCAGTGGGTCGCCATTTTCCCAGTATTTCACCCTTCCAACCTTTTATGGGGGTCCAGTGGCGTTTTACCCGCCACACCCCCAAATTACACTAATTTCGCAAATTAGATGTCCTCCGTATCCACCACCACCACTCCACTCTCTCCAAATACCACCTCGTTGGGGTCCTGTACCTGGATTCCTTTAGACAACCTAACGGATGAAAAGACACTACACTTACTTTTAATTAATTCCCGTTCACTGTTAAATAAAAAGCACTTCCTGCGTAATATTCTTCACCTTTCTTCTCCTGATATAGTACTAATTACAGAAACATGGTGTTCAGCAGAGCTGTCTGACACATTGTTCAGGATACTGGGCTATAACGTCTTTCGTAATGACCACCTTTATGGTAGAGGTGGTGGCTGTATAATCTACGTCAAAGACAAATACTTGGTTCTGCCTCTGAATGAATCACTCCTACGGAAACTTCCTGATTCGGTGTGGACTACAATTTCTATTAATCCAACAAATCTCTTAGTAGGTTGTATTTACAGACCCCCATCGTCTACACTCACCGTGACCGATGACTTGTTGGACACATTTTCTTTTATTGCTGACCTCTCATACACTAATAAAATAATCGCTGGGGATTTTAATATGCCCGAAATCCCATGGTCCCTTAACAATAAACCACAAAAACACAATCCTTTTATGTCTACTCTTGGTCGACTGGGATGGGTACAGCACGTCACAGAACCTACACGGCTTGGTAACACACTTGATCTAATATTTACTATGGGATGTTCGCATGTGTCCACATACATCAGTGACAAGTTGCCGGGTAGTGATCATAACATCGTTGGTTGTTCTTTCCAAATTCTTTCTAAACCGATAGAATCAGTGATCAATTACCGCCCATTCTCTTCTGTGAATTGGTCAATTTTCTCGGATCTTATAAGGTCTTCATATTGGGATCCATTCTTCTTAGCACAGAATGTACAAATTGCTTGTAATGAATTCTACCACCGCATTCAGCTTTGTGTTGAAGCTGTGGCTCCAGAACGTACCAAGAAGTTGAAAAGGACTGCTGCACCTGCAGGCATCTCAAAAAAGGTAGCCACTAAACTTCATAAAATAAAGAAAAAATTTAGGAAAACAAACGATTTTACTCTGCTGATGCTCCACACCAGATTGCTTACAGCGTTATACCAAGACCACCACAAAATGCTATGCTCTGAGGAAGTAATGGCACTGAAGGGCGCCAACGTGGTAGGCTGCATCTCAAAACTTTTGGACCGTAGGCAGAATAGAAAATCAAGTTGTATAAACACCATTGTAAACTCTGATGGAACTGCCATAACCGACCGTGCAATCATATGTTCGATCTTCAATGACTACTTCATGTCTACTTATAGCACTAATGCGAATGAAGATCCTCAGCTCAAGCTGATACACAGAGGCAGAAATACACTCCAAACTGTTGAATTTACACTTAGTGACATATGTCGCCAACTCAGATTAGTTCGGCCATCATGCTCACCAGGCCCTGACAACATCCCTCCAATACTGGTAAAGCACGGAGGTCCAGACATCCCCCTGTTTTTGCTTAATGTATTTACACTTTCCATGCTCAATGGGGAGTATCCTATACACTGGAAACAATCAACTATAATACCAAGACACAAAAGCGGATCTATGCAAGATGTAAAAAATTACCGCCCAATCCACCACACATCTATTATCTCCAGAATCATGGAGAGGATAGTTAAAGAACGCATAATAGAATATTTGAGTTCTATGAGCCTTCTCAGTAAACATCAGCACGGTTTTTTGAAAGGTAGGTCGTGCACTACCTGTCAGTTAGATTACCTTGATTATGTGACTAGAGCAAGAGACGCCGGAAGTGCCATCATCGTAATATTTCTTGACATCCAAAAGGCTTTTGACCGTGTCCCACACAATTTATTGTTGCGGAAGCTTATGTCCTATGGTATCACAAATTCGCTTCTAGATTGGTTGTCTTCCTACCTCGAGGGTAGAAAGCAAGTAGTCAAAATCGGTAACTATACATCTGAAGCCACTACAATCTCTAGTGGAGTGATTCAAGGTAGCGTGCTAGGCCCGCTTTTATTCTTAATCTATTTCAACGATCTCCTTGATGAAATCTCGTATGGGAAGCCGTTCCTTTTCGCTGATGATGTTAAAATTGTGTATTGTTCCGCCCCTGGGCAATGTAGTCCTAACTTAGCCTATATTCAGTCTGACTTGTCCGCATTGGAGCTCTGGAGTAACTCCTGGAAGTTGCACTTTGCCACTGACAAGAGTAATCTATTGTACCACGGCTGTGGCCCTTCTCTGAACATCCTTACATTAAACGATACCCCTATTCCTGTGTGTGGCGCAGTCCGAGACCTTGGTCTAAGATATTCTGCCTCGTTTAATTTTTTAGAGCATGTTATATTCTTGCAGGCTTCTGCCAGAAAAGTGATCGCCTATATAAGTCGAACTCTTATTTTGAGGGATTCCAGGCTTCAAGCCTTTAAAATATGTGTTAGGCCGAAGCTTGAGTACTGTACGATAGTGCATAGTAATCTGAGAAAAGTGGATATTATAGCACTAGAAAACATTCAACGATCATTCACAAAAAGGTTTTTGAACATGCCTAATACTATGACATACCGTGAGCGTTGCGAGGCGCTAAATCTGGAGCCGCTATGGCTACGCAGACTCAAACTTAATCTGTGCCTTCTATACCGCTTACTATTCGGGTTAAGCTTCACTGCTCAGCCACAACTCGAGTTTCAGACTCGTATGCGCTATGAACTAAGAAACAGCGAGCGCACAGTGAAAATACCAAAGTCTCGCACAAAGCTCCGCTCAAATTTTTCTCCGTAAAATATGCGTTAATATGGAACAAACTTCCATCGAGTGTTAGAAACTGCACTACCTATCCACAATTCAGACGCATGATTAATATTCACCTGACTGTTGCAAATATCTGGTCAACACTAAGCCAAACGGTGACTCTAGATGATTTGTATGAGAAAGGTCCTGGATACATATGAAAGTCACCATATCCTCTATTCGTTTCAATAATATAAGATTACCTACATATAGTTGCATTCTTGAGTATATATTTGAGAACGATCTTACTCCTATCAATCCGTCTAACCAATTCTGTTTTCTCCTTTGACGCACTGGTTCGTAGATGCACTACGCCTTTCAAGCTGATGTCTCTGTACCATCGTCGTCACTCGCCAAGATTTTCCATCAAATTGTGACTGGCCTATCGGCAAGCGTTTGTATTCATCATTATGTTTTATAATTCCTCATACTTTATCTTCTTCTTTGTTTCACCGTTGGTCATGACTGGGCTGATCTCTTGTGGTGACGGATTACAGCTTCCAAAATAAAAAGTATACCCATGCAAATCATATTACTACTGACTCGCTGGCTTAAAACAAAAAAGTGCCATACTTGATTGATCCGCATGACAGAACGGGCTGAGGCTTCATCGCCTATAATGTATGCATAAAACAGCCCTAAAAAAGACATTTGATACCTAGTTCTGATGGCCTATTTACTATCTTGCCACACAGGCACAGAGCCAATTGGAGCATGGAAGTGCGGGTGAAACCCATCGTGGAAATACCCTGCATGGAAGCAAGTCCCCTGGGGACAGTTCCATGGATGACCGTATTACTTTACTTGAACTTTCCGTGAAATCTACATTTATTATTGTTCCCAGTTTCTTTATCTCTCTACTTTTTCCAAACTGCTAATCAATTCAAAAACCCATATGGGAACCATTGATCAAAAGACGAATAATTAACTACATTATGCCATCACGTTGTACATGTTGTCAAGACCACCCAATTGGTCTGTGCCTCGCACTGTGAAGGAATAAAGTTTATTTATTTATTTTATTTATTTATGACTTCGCGCGAAAGATGTCGGGTCTTGGGATTGAGTGGGAGCAAACGATGGTCAGTATCGACGTTAGCTCGCTCTTTACCAACGTGAGAAAATACGATACATTGGTGATGGTAAAACATAATTTAACGGGACAACAACTTGGTCTCCTACGAAAGGCGTTCGGGAAGTTCGAGCGATCAACCTTCCA